AGCCCACAGGTCTGGGAATCACAGCTCGGAGTTGGCCACGTGGGACCCAGTGCCTTCACCACCACCACCTGCTGGCCCCAGCTGACCTCTCTAAGTAGCAGGAGTTCGGGGGACGGGAGGAGGTGGGAGATACAGTGAGAAGAAACATCTCCACAGCAGCCATCATTTTCCTGAGAAAACCAAGAGAAGAAACTGCTCTGGCTGGGGCCGGGGTGGAGATCAGACACTCACTGGCACCTTGTCACAGGCATTCCTCTGGTTGCTGCGCCACTGCTCACAGCTGCTCCGATGACACCTGTACCAAGCGGCCCTCCCCCAGGGCGGCAGGGAGGGAGGCAGCAGTGCGGGAGGTTTCTGGGCACCTGTGAAGCCACGGCCGTAGCCGCAGCCAGCTGCGGCCTGCCAAACCCGACCCGGATTTCATAAATTAGCCTCCCACAGTCTGGGCCCCCGCGCATGGGGAGAGTGCGATTCTCCAGCCAGAGAGCGAGCCGATCGAAGGCGTGGGCACACGGCGTCCAGACGTGCACTGCAGCCCTTGACTAATTCACATCCCAGGCCCCGGGTGAGAGCTGCCGGGGACAAAGAACCCTGCCTGGGAGATGGCAGGTGCCAGGCTGGGGGCAGGGCAGAGACTGGGGGGCCTTTGTGGAGCCTCCAGGACAGGCAGGGAGACCTGACGGACTGCCCACAGCTTTGCAGGGTGGTGGGGCCACGCACCGGAACACTGCCTGGGCTGAGGAGGCGCCACAATTCTTTATCACATACAATCGCTGGCTGACGAGGGAAGGGGGCCCAGAGAGGGTCAGGAATTTGTCTGAGGTCCCACAACTGGGATGTCAGAGCCAGCCTCGCACTCTGCGGTGGGGGTGCTGGTGGGCTGCTCGGGACGGAGTGTGAGTGTGAGTACCCACTGCAGGCCCGCCCCAGCAATGCAGGCCGCCTCTATGCCCACCCACAAGGACACGAAAGCCCCTCTCGACTGTTCTTTTTAAAAGTTGCTTTCTTTCGGGAACCAGCAGTTAGCGTAATGGCTATGTCGCTGGACTCCCACGTAGTCAACCGCGGTTCGCGTCCTGGACCTGGTGGCTTAAAACTCACGCCGGGTACGTGTGCGTGCGTGCCCAAGATCCCGAGAGGAGAATGGAGGAGAAGGGATTGCGGCGTGACCATCCCCCCTGGGGGGTGATTTCTCGCTTTCTGTCTCTATGTCTCTCTCTGTCTGTCTGGCGAGCGCACGCGCCCTATAGCAAAAAATCTCTCCAAAAAAAAAAAAAAAAAAAGTTGCTTTCTTTCTTCCAGGAGCGAGAGACGCACACACAGAGTTTCCATGCCTCTCCCCCACCCTCGGCCAGCCCAGACCACAGGCAGGTGCACGCCCGGTGCATCCAGGGAGGCCTTGGGACGTGACCCCGGGGCCTTCCCACAGGCTCGGCTCCACGGGCACTGTGCTTCTGCTGCACCACGGTGGCTGGCCTTCTAATCACAGAAAATGAGAGCGAGAATTTCTGTGTCTGGAATAACCAAAGGGATTGTTAGAATGAGCTGGGGCCTGCCTCCGGGAGAGACTACTGTGAGGTCATTCAAGTCACATAATTGAGGAGTTTATGAGCGCATGGGAAGCAAAAATAGCAGAGTAAAATCAGTATGCGCATACTTAGTTATGTGTGTGTGAACGCGTGCACGCACGCAAGTGTGCCCACAGAAGATGAGCAAGGAGGACTGAAAGGGCCCAGCCCTGGGGGGCAGAGGTTGGGCACTGAGCCGAGCAGGCCCGATCCCACACGGCCAACAAGGGTTCGAGTTCCAGCCACTCTTGGCTTGAAAACATGCTGGGTGGATGTGGGTACACCCAAGACCCTGCTGGGACAGAACTGGAGACAGGATGGCAGTGCAGCCAGGCCCGGCTGGGGGAGGGGTGCTCTTGCATGCATAGAATTAAGACAAGAAGGAAGGAGGGCAGGAAAGGACAGGTGGAAAGAAAATGCCCGCATCAGTCCTGGCAGCTGCCTGAGGGTGGCGGGCTTTCCCCAGGGGCACCAGGCACTGTCTGGAGACGTGTTTAGCTGTCCCAGCTCGGGGCATGCTCCTGGTGCCTCACGAGTGCAGACGCCTGCAGGATACGGATCCCACAGGAGACGCCTTTGGCCCCGCACGTCAGCAGTGCCTGGGGGAGAGCCCTGCACTGTGGGACCGTCTGCATGCCCTGAGCCCGGGGACACAGCCACTTCTGGAACGAGGACAGGATGTGCACGTGTGAGAGGCGGAACGCCACTGCTGAACATCTTGGACAAGCACACTCTGGTCCGTCAGGTCCACACGAGACGCGGAGTGGAAGCAGGAGACACGATCGTGGGTGTGAACTGAGCTCGACTCCTCCTCCCTTCACACCTGCACCGTGGCCTGATTCAGCTCCTGTCTGAACACCTCTCGGATCAGACATCCTGACACGGCTGTGGCCTCCCGTCTCCCTGCCGCCCGCGGCTTTCCCTCCCAACCTGGACACACCTGCAAGCCCCTGACCCTGTGGCTACTGGCTGGGATTGACCTCTGGGAGACACCAGGAGGTAGGGGCAGGGTGGAACGACATCACAGTCCCTTCCCTCCATGGTGGCCGAGGGCTGGTCAACAAAGGCCTCGCTCTGCTGGGCCGCCCACCTCAGCAGCGCACTGCGCTGGCTCAGGGCACACTGGCTCCTGTTCCGCGGGGTCCCCTCTGCCCGAGCCTTGGAATGGTGCTCTTCAGATCGGCCAGCCAGCTGACGTCATCGGGACCCCACTCTCTCCACACCAGCCCAAGTGCTCTCACACATGTAGGCCACGTGATGCCTCCTGAGAATGGCACGGCCCTTCCCCTGCATAACCAGCCTTCGCGAGGCTCACACCACACCGCCTTCCGTCCCGTCCTGGCCCACCTAGCCACACTGGTTCCGGACTCTTCCGGCCCCCCAGCCCCTTCTCTCTCAAGTAGGGCGTACTGGCTGGGCTGACGCCAGCGAGGCTCCCTCCTCCCTGCTCCAACACGTCATGGCTACCAGGCCTCCCCTGTTTCTCATGTGCTCACCAGAAAGAGTGACAGAGGAAGTGAGGGAGGTGGAGAAAGCACCCTCTCGTAGGGTGTGATCACGCCGCGATTCTCTCTCCATTTCTCCACCCTGTCAGGATGCTGGGCGTGCACACACATGCTTCGTGTGTTTTCCAAGCTGTCCAGGACACGATCTAAACCATGCGGCTGGCCGTGGGGGGGATCTGGTGCCCCAGCCACCAGGCCCTTTCCCTGACCTCCCTGTCTGAGCAGCCAAACTCCCCCCTCGACCCCTCAGGTGGCCGGGTTTTCTTTTTCTTTTTGAGAGGTTTTTGCTATAAGGCGCATGTGCTCTCCAGAAAGACCGAGAATGACCGAGAGACAGAAAGCGAGAAATCACCCGCAGGGGGATGGCCGCGACACAACCCCTTCTCCTCCGGTCTCCTCTCAGGATCTTGGGCATGCACGCACACATGCCTGGCATGAGTTTAAGCCACTAGGTCTGGGACTCGAACCACAATTGACTACATGGAAGTCCAGCGACAGAGCCATTACACCAACTGCTGGTCCCAGTGGCCTGGTTTTTCTTCCAGACTCATCCAGCTTCCAATAGGTGTGCTTTCCCTCTGATACAGATGGATGTGCCAAGGGTGCACCGCACGGCAGGGGCTTCACCGCACAAACTGGTCTCCCCAGCACTTCAAACAGGGCCTCCACGTGACACCGCTCAGATGTCAGAGCTGAATGAAAGAGCCTGCAGAGACGGACAGAAAACACCCCGGAGGGAACACCCGGAGCACATGCAACCCCGCCAGCTCCTGGGCTGTCGGACAATGGGGCGGCGGGCGGTTTCATTCTGCTTTCCGAGCTTACACAGCATTGCCGGTTATGAAAGCTGCAGGCGGTGTGCTCAAACCTGCTGACACTTCTGCAATATGCACCTCTGTGGGAGAAAGGACCAGAAAGCAGGAGCTATCATAAAGGCCACCGTTCTTCTGACTCCCCAAGGTCCAGGAGAATCTTTGAGCCACACGTCAGACAGACTTTGAAATGCAGAGTCAACATAGCTATGCCCAGAAAAATACCAGGCTCTCATTCTGCAAACTGCACCAGATAAAGCTTGATGAGAACCTGGCTGGCTGGGATCTGTGGCAGCCCTGGACATCCACACGGGGTACTGGGCAATGGCCATTTTGCAGTGGGGGCGCCATCCCATCCACCGAAAAGGAGCAGGGGTTGCAGGAGGGTGGGGATGGCCTGCTCTGTGGCCAGCATGGCCTTGTGACTCCGGGTCCCACTATCTGCTGTGAACTCGAGGCTCGTCACCTCCCCCAGGATGGCGCTTGCATGTATGAAGCCCCTACAGCACGCCTGGCTGAATCCATGGCACACGGCCCTCGTTGGGGGCCCTGTCTCTTAACCCGTGTGGCAGCCCCAGTTTCCTGGAGGTGAAATATTACACTCACGACAACAGGCAGAGGGCGGCAGCTCTGCCCCAGGCACGAGTCCTTGGAAGGCTGGCAGAGGGGCAAGGAGCTTGCGAGATGTGGACGGAGGAAGCTGGCCTGACTTGACGGGAGAGGAGGGCACGGGGCCTGCTGGGCACTGCCTGGGCACCTGGCCTTCACCTCACCATCACGAAGGATCCCCACACACGACGCCGTCTTCCTTCACCTCACCATCATGAAGGCTCCCCACGCACGACGCCGTCTTCCTCTACCTCACCATCACGATGGCTCCCCATGTACGACCCCATCTTTCTCGTTGAACAAAGAACCCTGAGCCTGCAGAGCGCCCAGAGAGCGGCATCGCATCCCACTCACCACGGGAGGCTGGCTTTGGAGGCATGTCCTCTCCCCTCCCCAAAAAGCCCTGCTGCCAGTACCAACCAAGCATCGCCCGTGCCTTGAGGTGGGTGCTCTGAGGTGTAGGCAGGCTCTGAAATGAGCAGAGCCTCACCTGGGGGACCCAGGGGTCAGGAGTCATCCCTGCGGTCCCGGGCAGACTCTGCCTGCCAGCCTCTTCTGAAGACATGGCCGTCGGATGCCCCAATTGGCTCCAGGCCACTAGAGGGCAGAGGAAATGCCACTGCCAGGCCCACAGGGCTCTCACAGGGAAATGAGCCGCTGTCCAACACGCACGGCGGGGAGTGTCTGTTAGACAGCTGTGTTTAGAAAGCTGTCACTGCTTGCCAGTTAATGGTGCCACATCAGTCAGCATCAGCCAGAGATGTGTCCTTCAGCTCTGTGGACACACTGCTGCCAGCCGAGCTGCCACCTAGGCCGGGCAGAGCCACGCCCAGCGCCCAGGACACGGCACGCCCTGAGCAGCAGGAAGGTCTAAACTCGGGCTCTCTGTGGAGCAGGTGTTCACAACCGCACTCCAGCTGAGGGTGGTGACTGGTGCTTAGCAGAGGTCTCTGGATGAAGCACATGGGGGAGCCACCCCGGGGGTGCATCAGGGTCTGGGATGTGGCCTAGGGACCCTGAGGCCCACCTGGCACCCAGGAGCAAGGCTGTGGTAGGCAGTGGAGGCAGCGTCTGCTGCAGAAAGGGTCTCTCAGAATCAAAGCCAGCACTGCTTTTCTGCAACCCCAAAGAACCCTAGCTGAGAACACAGCTAAACCGAGTGAGGACTGTGGGTGCTGCCCAGGGACAGTCAGGACGGCCTGAGGCAGCATCCACCCCCACTGGAACGGCTGGGCCAACAGTCCCCCACCTCGGGGACCATCATGGCGTGACCGAAAGGCCTGGAAGTCATACATGAGAAGCGCACAGTGGCAAACCATGAGTGTGGACACTTTTTTTTAAAAAGAGATTTTTGCTAGAGGGCATGTGTACTTGCCGGAGAGACAGAGAGAGAGAAAGCGAGAGATTACCCCCAGGGAGGATGGCTACACCACAGTCCCTTCTCTGGTCTCCTCTCAGGATTCTGGGCATGCACACACACGCTCCTGGCTGAAGCTACGGGTCTGGGACTCAAATCAGGGTTGGCCATGTGGGAATCCAGCGACATAACCACTACATCACCTGCTGGGCCCTACTGTGGCCACTCGACGTGTGGGGCAGCGGGTCACTGGGCCCTGAGTGAGGCAACCTGGGCCAATGGCTGGCTCTGTCACTCAGCCTGGTGGTTCCTGAGTATAAGGAGGAGGGGCAGGGCCCACCTCCAGGACCCAAGTGCCTGATGCCTCAGAAGCACATGATCAGGGGAACCAGCAGTTGGTGTAATGGCTATGTCGCTGGACTCCCACGTAGTCGACCACGGTTCGCGTCCCAGACTCAGTGGCTTAAAACTCATGCC